CCCTGGACCCTGTCGGAGCTCTGGGAGTGAAGAGTTGGAAGCCCTGTTGCCGGGCGCTCCTTTCTGTCCTTCAGGCAGGCTTCAGGCGGAGGCTGGTCCCTGGCGCGGCTGGGCCCAGGGGCAGGGTGCCCTGTGGCCGTGCAGGGGCCCTGAAAGGTCCCAGAGCACGGCAAGCAGTGAGAGGGACATGGCCACCTGTAGGACTGCGGAAGCCAACCGCTCCTGAGAGTGCGCAAGATGCCGCGCGAGATGGCTGCCATTAAGGTCTCCCTCCGGGAGCTGGCCGATCTAGCCATTGGCACCCCAGAAGTGGGCGCCGTCAACTTCACGGCCCTGCACAAGCTCATCGTGGCCATTCTCAAGAACCTCCACCTTCAGGACACCGTGGTGGACATCCAGTCGCTGTCGCCCGACCAGAGCCACTTCTTTGAGGCCCCGCAGCCCTCGCTCAGCGCCGTGCAGGTGCCTGTGTCCAAGGAGAAGCAGAAGACCAGCGTGGCCAGGACACCGGCCCCGACGCCGGAGGGCGGCGTGGCCAGGACGCCGGCCCAGATGCTGGACAGTGACTTGGCCAGGACGCCGGCCCAGATGCTGGACAGTGACTTGGCCAGGACGCCGGCCCAGATGCTGGACAGTGACTTGGCCAGGACGCCGTCCTTGACACTGGAGAGCCAGGTGAAGGACCTGGGCGGGCAGGTCCATGACCTTGACCGGCAGTTCAAGACCATGGAGAGCCAGGTGCAGGGCATCCTGACCCACGTGCAGCATGTCACTGCCATGGCCAGCGAGCTGGACGTGGACACCCCGGAGTGGCTGGGGGAGCAGGAGATGGCCACGCCAATGCCCGAGATGGCCAAGCTGATGCCCAAGATGGCCACGTCGATGCCTGACAAGGCGCAAATGGGGTTGAAAATCAGGAAGGACCGCCCCCAGGTGAGCGGGCGGGCCCCTCCAGATGGCTCCCCAGCCAGTGCTGGAGCTGAGCCCCAAAGGCACCCACGACTTCCCCCAGTGCGGGGAGGAGGCCGGAGCAGGGAGGTGAAGGGAAGGCCAGGGCCCCAGGCCTTAGTGCTGCCTGAGCCCACATGGCCCGTGCTTTACTTTGCAGGCCATGGAGGTGCTCCAGAACGTCGTGGAAGACGTGAAAACCCTGAAGGAGGCCCATGAAAAGGCCCTGGGAAAGGAGCAGGAGCTCCCAGAGCTGACCTCCCAGGTGAGGGCGATGGGGTCCCCACCCCCTGCAGCCCCTCATCCCTGTTTACACTGAGGCTCACCCACCACTTAGCAGACACCCAAGGATCCCGAGTCCACCCAGAGAGTTGCTGACGACTTCTCAGAATAAGTATTTGAATTTCCTTTAAACAAGAGTAAAGAAATAAGGTGGTGGTTATTGAGAGACAAAGCTCAGTCCAAGAAGAGGGGGCCTGAGATGGAGCGTTCTGGGGTCACCCTCCCAGCCCCCCAAACACCAACCGCAGGTGCAGCAACACTTTCACTTGGATCTTTTGTTTTCTTGGCGTACAAATCCTCCCGCATCAGTTTATCAGATGATTCCAGGCAGAGCTCCTATCTCAGACCCATCTGAAGCCTCCAAAGGGGATTAGAACTGGAAGACAAAGGAGGGATGACGAGGAAGAAGCACAGGGAGAGGCTGAGAAGAGAGACTTGAGGGAGAAGAAATGCTCAAAGGGGGCGGGAGAAGGTGGCCCAGACCCCCACCTCCACCCCCACCCTCCCGGACTCAGCCCCCCGATCCCATTTCGTCCACCTCATTTGTCCCAGGCCTTGAGATCTCAGCGGGACTCACTTTTGCTCTGGGAAGCTTTGCTTTTGAAAGTGTGGTGTTTTTTTTTGGTTTTAGGTTGCTTTTGTTTTTTAGAGGAAAAGCTTGTTTTACCTTAGGATTCTTAGATTCTGCAGGTCTGCGGACATTAAAAAGAGCAACTTAAGTTTTAGCAATTTGCTTTGGTTGTTCTGAGGTGCTTTTCTCTTTAAACAACACAGACAGCTAGATGCCCTGGAAGCACCCAATAATGTTTGTCCCAGGGAGGTGAAGTCAGCCTTGGTCTGCAGTGCAGCAGTGTCTCATTAGTGGTTTGTCTGAAATGGACCCCAGAACCAAAGCTTCCCCTCCTGACATTAGCTTGACTCCATCCACACTGTCCCCAGCACCAACCCGCCACACCCCATGTCCCTTCCTCTTGTTGGCTGGGAAGAGAACGTGGAGCCTGGCTAACCTGCCTTCTCTCTATCCTCTGCTCCTCTAAGATCCACCCATCCCCTTTCCTCTTGTCCCCTGTGCCAGTGTGTGTGTGTGTGTGTGTGTGTGTGTGTGTGTGTGTGTGTGTGCAGGGGCCACAGAAGGACCTGCTTTGATCCCCCCCACCCCCAACTCTTCTCCCAGAAACTCCTGCAACGGATTGAGGAAGTAGAGAAGAAACTCAGAGACCGGGAGGAATTTCTGGTAATGTCTGCTAGTTTTGTGGGAAAGGGCCCTCAGCGGGAGG